GAAAAAACAAGAAATAAAGTACTTACCCGATCTTTTTTTTGCTGTTGATTGTCAATGACAGTTAACCCTACTTTTTTTTTATACTAATGGTAGTAATACACTGAATAATTTTTATTTAATTAAATAATGCACTAACAACATGCAAAAAGTAGACAGTTTCTCCTAACTCTGAAAATGTTTCTGGCTTTCTAACTATGCGACAAGAGCCATTACAAATTCATCCAAACTAGTTGTTAATTTTCCCACAGGAATGAAGCTTGTACTCTAGTGAAATTGATGCTTCTCTGTTCAGAACACAATGTTATACAATATGTCATCTGATAGATGAAAACCTTGGCTTTCTATTGGTTATAGGTAATATATAATTAAACATAAGAGAGAACTATTAACAAATCCTGAAAGAGAGGATGTGACAGGAGGGGTCTGATTTTCTGTTTGATAGCTCTGTAACCAAACAAAATTTAAAGCTATAAAAATTATTGTTTGTCTAAGCAAAGATGATTCTACATGGAGTACTTTACGTTTTATTTTGTACTCTTTGAAGGGGTAGTGGATAAAATAGAGAAGAGAATATACCTAGAGAAAATGTGTCACATGTGTCACACTAGGGAAAACTCAGGATTTTTTTTAAATATTGCCTCATAGAATTAAGAGCTTAAAACTTATATACTATTAAAATATAGATTATTAGTTAAGATTTTATGCTATACTAATAGTTATAACATAAGCAAAAAGTAGTTTAATTAAATTTTGAATGTAAGACACTAAAACTTCGTGTCATGCGCAGTAAAGGATACCCGTGGTGATAGGGTTAAGTTTCTTACCTGCCCTGGGCGAGGCTCTGGAACCTTTGAATTTTGATATGGTAACCAGTTAGAGTTTATATCCTCCTGCCATTTAAATGGTCCATCAAATGTTTCCAAGATATCATCTAAGCGGAAGGCACAAACTGCTGATCCACTGATGCTATTTCTTTAAAGGTACCAAGAGTCATGATAAGAAAATACTTCCAAAGAAACAACACAAACATAAACCATAAAACAATGTTTATACTCTTTCCTGCAAAGTCAATGACTTTCAACCAATATTGTTAGTGTGTTAATGCAGTTTCTTCTTCCTATATTTGCAAACACAAATAGTTGGTACATTGAGAGGGACAATAAATGTTCACTGAATTGTTTTGTATTATAAGGACATAGTAATTGATATAAATAATGAATAAAAACCTATATTTATATAACTCTATTCCCTTTTATGATTTTAGTAGAATTTAGGATCCTTTAAAACTATAAACATAGCCATAACGTTAATATTAACACTAATGATTTTTGCAGTTTGAATTTCTTAAATGCTTAAAAGCAACATACTACTGATTATTTAAAATATAATCCATCTACCTTTCATCGACAATGATATTGTTGTTTAGGTTTATGATAATCAGTAATAAATACTTAGAAAAAGCATACACAAGTTCAGTATGTATGACTGTGCTTTTTGTTTGTTTGTTTTGGAATTTCGCGCAAAGCTACACGAGGGCTATCTGCGCTAGCCGTCCCT